CCATTGCATTCTTCATTTTAGCAAGCTTTGCCATGCTAGCACAATAAAAAAAAAAGGTGTCTATTCTCATAGAATACAATATTCAAGAATCAAGAAAAAAAACTTTAGAAAAAATATCAGTTTAGAATAGGATAATCTGTAACTTCTAATATGCTTATGTCTTATTAAAAGAAAGGAGTAATCTATTCTTAATCAAGAAAAGATAAAGCTCTAATATTATATGTATATTCTTATCAACATGTTAAGGACACAAATTGAAAGGTGATGCATAAACTCATGGAATTTGTTTCATAAAGAAAAGTGACAAAATAGAAGAAAATATATATATATATTTAAAGAAGAATTGGAATGGTTACTGCAAAAGACTAAAAAATATAAGACTCTTGAAACTAGACTTAAAGTAAGAAATCAGTTGATAAGAGTGAAGAGGGTTGCACTCTTGTCTCTATATATACTATCTAACCAGGGGCTATATGACGATGTTCTATAGGACCTCCAATATGTGTTGACTTTGTAGGATACATGCCTTGAATTACAAGGCAAGTTTTTCTATGTGTAGGTCACATAGTTAGCTTGGTCTTCAAGCTAACAACATATGTGGTACATGGCCAATTTGTTGATCATGTTTTTAATCCAAAAAATCAATTATAGACACCTATAAAGTTAAAGTAGTGTCTATAAAGCTTTTAAGAAGTTTTTATAGAAGATATTATAGAATTAATTTATTTTTATTTATTTCTACTTACTTCTATCTATTTATATAAGTAATTACTAGTTTACATGTGTATGTTTGTGATAGGAAGTTCCATAGATTTAATTGAATATAGATGGCTCTTTGAATAGTAATACTGTAAATCTTCTCGGTTGAGACGAACAACGTATTATTCAACAAAATACATTGGCTTAGTACTAAATTAATGCAATTTTTTTGGCTAGGCATGGTTGATTATGGTTGCATAGAATAGAAGTAGAATAAATCTTATAGCCAAAAGGCCCCAAATAAAAAGATAGTACTTGAGTACTATTTTTTCAATAGATGGTATTGCAAAAAGGTTTTTATTATATGAATGGACAACAAATTTCATTAGATTTCAACTAAACTTAGTCAAGGCTTTGTCTTCTAATCTAGATAGCTACCTCATCAATCATAAGAGATGACCCTCTATCTTACGCAAGTTTATTAGGCCATCAACCTACTAACTTGTAATTAGTGAATACTAATTTTTACTACCTTTTAATTGTCTAACTCTCTCAAGCTGCAAATAGCTATGTGTTTGTACCATTTTTCACTTTGCAATGAAATTGATTTTTATTTGTGTCAAAAAAAAATAGAGATAATCTGATGGCATTTTGAAGGAAGGAAAAGTGCTTCTGTATGAGATGCCTTTGAATTGGCTATTGACTCTATGTAAATACAAGACTTGAATTTCCAACTGAGCAAATCAATTTATAATTTTTGAAGCTGAGTATTATTATATACCATTGTAGATTATTATTTATTATACTATTGTAAATAAAAATATTTTGAAGAATAATATACAAGAATAAGGTGATATAGAAAATCATTACATTGACAATGAATAAAATAATCAAAATGAGCCTAAAAGAACATATAATTAATTTTGGAGCTCTGACTATCAAGGGAAATAAGACCTTCTTTTTAAACTACATCATAATCTACATAATTTGCTAAAATCAATCAAAATTTTACTATCAAAATCCAACAAAATATCAACACAATTGATATCTTTGTACGAAACTAAATTGACAAATTTTGAATGAAATTCTTCTTAATCCTCAAAATCCTCCTTCTCAAAAGGAATTTCTTTATCAAATCAGTAAGATGGTAGAGAAAGTTGTATGTATATTGTGTTCATTGCATGGAGATACTTAAGTCCCTACAGATTCTAAGTATTCAAGCTGATTAGTACTTCATCTAAAGTATGAAAGTTTTCTATATTTCATGGAAATATAGAGCATGTCTTTTTTGAAATGGGATCAAACTCATCTTCAAAATATTAAAATTTTTATATAATTTAAACTCATTTTTAGAGATTTTTATAACTATATTTGGAGAAAAGAATTGAAAATAAGTAATAAAAATAAAACTCTAATATTTGCAGTAATGATTATCTTAAATTATTATTTATATTATAAAATTCCAACAACTTCTTGTGATGTGGATTGAAACAATGAGACTCTTGCCTATCAATTTTAATATAACTTCAAAGATAAGATTAAAGATCTATTGTTGAAATGATAAAATTATATTTATTTAAAATATTTTATTACTTAGATAACTGCATGCAACATCCAATTCTATGAAAGGTACTAAAAACAAAGATTTGGTTGAAAAGGAACAAACCAAGTAATAGAAATAAATTTGAAGTCTTTAGATATCTATTTATAATACTAATAAATATAAATATTGATACAATATAAAATAAAGTCATTGAAAATAGAATTAAAAAATCAAGTATTTGATATTATCTTCAATATCTTCTAATATTCTTTAAATCTAATAATAGTTAGCCTTATTTTATTTGAATTATATAATCTTGATATTAATTAAAAATCACAAAAGGCTACCTAAAGATCTAGTGTAAGCAATAATAAATCATCTTAATTTTTGTTTTTTTAGAATTGAGACATTTATATAAGATATAAGAAAAAGATTATTATTTGTTATTGATACAACAACAAGTCTTTATTCAAATAGAGGTTGTAGTAGAATCTTAAAGTAATATTAGAAATATTAATCTACCTTTAAAAAAAATAATTTTGATATATTGGCAAAATATTAATCTTGTGAGTGTACAATTAAGCTTCAAAAAGAAGCTCAACCTATGTTTGAACCAATTTGTAAAGTATTGTATAAAAACTTTTTGCTTTGTTTAAATCCTTGCAATGTGTATAAATTATTGTGAATTCAAAAAATTAAGTATCAATAATTACTATTAATAATTTGATTTTTTTAATCTATTTATTTAAGCTAAGATCTATATAAAAATATGTCTATAAGGAATTTAGAATTTGGTATATATTAAAATATTACATAAATAGAATATTATATTTGAAACTATATATGGTCATATTAAATATAGCATTATCTTTTAAGACTTAAAAATACTTTAATAACTTTCCAACTTATAATAAATAATATGATTTGTAAATTTTTAGATAATTTTATTGCATATTATTTAGATAATATTTTTTTTATCTATTTTAAGATTATAGAGGAATATAATCAACATATTTGTCTTATAATAAAAAATTCAAAGATAGAAGATTATATATTTAGATAAAAAAATATTTTTTACATAATATAAGTGGACTTTTTGAAATGTATAATATCAAAAGATGATTTATAAATGAAATTTAAGAAGGTACAAACTATTATGGATTTAAAATCTCTAAATATTATAATTAATTAATTACTTTTAGAATTTACAAATAAATATAGATTATTTATCAAAAAATTCTTAAAAGTTCTTGCATCACTTATAAAATTAACTTCTAAAGACCTATTATAGTGGAATGAAGATGAAAAAGAAAATTTTTAATATTTTAAAATAAAATTTATATAAGCACATGTCATAAAACATTGCAAACTTTTAGAAATATATATATTTTTATAATTTATATTTTACATTTTATACCTTTGTAAAAATCAATAAGACTTATTAAATGTATTATTCAAATATTCTTATCTCATACTAAAATAAAAAAATATTGTATATAATTAATAATAAACTATTCTTTTAAAATCAAAGTAATTGCATCTTTCAGCTTTTAAATTAAAAAAAATAAATTAACACTAATTTTTGTAATAATTTATTTTAAAATATATTAATAGATATTTTTATTCTTGATATTAAAATAAACCTTCATAGTAGTTTTAAAAAATCTAATTTAAAAAAATATCTTTATTTTTATAAAAGATATTTACTTATATTAAAAAGTCAAGTACAAATATATGCACTTCAAGCCTATTACAACTATCTAATAACAAGAAATTTATGATATAATAAAAATTTAGAGCTTATTTATAAAATCTGATGATTTCAAATGTAGATAGCTATTAAAGTATTAAATCAATCTTATAATACTCAAGCTTCAACAAAGATTTTATGATATTAATCCTACAAACTTCTTGATCTTTACATATTCTAAAGAAACATTAGTCATGAGTTTTAAAATACTTCATTACACATTTTTTAATCTCAAATTGTTGTAATTTTATTTGTGTAATAGTACATTATTTAATAAAAATAGTATATTGTATAAAAACTACTATTAATAAAAAAATAACTAAGATTTGTTTTGATAATATATTTATTAATACGACAAACTTCTAAGTAATATTATATTTAAATAAAGATTCTACTTTGTATTGAGGTTTTAAAAGAAAATATTTTATATATTGGATATTGATATTAAGTTATCTTTAGCTTTTTAACTTCAAAATA